GGGGTGGAGTTCGCTGCAATAACTGAAAGTAGTATGGGGCGGCTCGTGACATGTGACTGTGGGTGATGCATCATGAAAGAGAACTCTGTATCGTTCTGTGTGCCTCAATCATGATCGCTTGCATTGGATAAAACGGTAGTCCAACAAATTGGGTGAAGGTGATTCTATCCAAAAGTTGCGCAAAACGGCCATTTGAGAAGTGATTGTAGAGTTGAGGAAGGCATAATAGCAGAAGAAGTCAGTCATTTAAAAGTGGCAGCAGTACCTTGGTTCGGGTGGTGAATCGCTCACCTAGCATGAGTGGTGTGACGATTCATTTGCATCTGACTTCGCTGGGAAAGGAAGGTGGTCGAGGCAAAGGTGATTGCTTCCACTCGCACGGGTTAGGTGGTGGGTACCCACTTATTCAATTCGTTTTGCTGAATGCATGCCGGTCTGAGTGGTGAGATGTGGCCTTCGCACACCAATGCCGAACGAGGAGCACATCACCGGTTTTGACTGAGTGCTCCCCCAAAATACTACACCACCCATGTCTACAAGTCTAAATCTTGTGTGCAGCAGGTTGCGAACAGAATCGTCTGTTGTCTGAAACTCAAGTAGTCACTCGTTACAACTTGGGTTTGTGCAAGGGGAACTCCTCCTCCGCACTGCCTACCATTTCTTCTTCTTCTTCATTGCCTTCAGAAACAACACTTCAGTGTTGGAGCGGGATGATCTTCTATTCCCATGTTAAATTTGGCATTTATCTGCTCTGTCTTAAATATGCAGTAATTTCTTTGACGATATTTTAAATGTATTGAAGAGTTAGTACTTGGTCCTTTGTTTCCTTACAGCGTATCGTAGGAGTTGACGAAAGAATTCGAACTGGTGCTATTTATTGTGCGGAACCAAATAAATTTCTCCTATCACGTCGACTATCCTTTGTCTTTTTGCTAGTATTACATTTGCCTCTATTTTCAGGGCGACTAGCGAGGACTCATGCCTTTAAATGTGAGTGAGTTCTGCGTGGGTATATGTGTGTATATCGGGCTTGCTATCTGTTTGCACGTCCCTCTGCACGTTTAAGCACCATCTACCACTCTGATAATCGTTTGCCTCTGAATGAACGAAGTCCGGTTATTAAACCTTTGTTGTTTGCTAAGCTATTCGTTTCTTCGGATTGTGAAAAGTGGACAGTGTTTTTCTCGATTTCCTACGCCACACTGGCCCACTGACTTCCTTAGCTCTAAAGCAAGATACGCAATCTTGCTTTCGGCATTGTTTTGCAATGATGAAAACTTTTTCAGCTGTTAGCTTTTCTCCCCCTCTCCTTTCTGGAAATGCCTTACAAGTTAAACTTCTATGCGAAGTCTGCATCACATGAAGTCTCATTGGGCTTACTATTCCTTCTTTGCTATAACGTATATTCCACCCAATTTACCCAATAACACTAAGTAGTCTTGTCTCATTTTTTTTTTCATCAAAGGTGCGTTGAGTTAGTTTTGAATTGCTACAATGATTTCTATGTGTAGCGCCTTTAGCATTCTCTAAAGTCGTAAAATGGCACAACCGAATGGGAGAGCGTTTGTTACTGCCCCTGTCCCTATGGGGCAGTTACCTTGCTTCACTAAGCTGTTTTTCCATGGAAATCGCAAAATTGTCTTGCCGAAATGTCAGAGTCAAATGCGAGATGGCCCTAGTTGTGGAATCGAGAAGTTAACTGAGGCATGACCGTTAAGCCTGTTAATTGGACCTCAAGTTTTTTTGCCTTGTAGCAATCTCACTTCGGTTTAACCACATTGTGCATGCCTTTTTATTTGCGATCGGGATTGTTTCGAACGTGCGAAATTTTTTTGATGAATGTTAAACTGCTCCCTTGCATTTGACACTCTGTCAAATCGTCATAGAGTTCTTGCAGATGCCGCTTTTGTCAAATATTTAAACTCATTGATGGCAAATTAAATTATCAAACTGTTGTCGGTAGAATTTTTTGCCAATTTATCTGCATTTCCCTCCGGTATCCTTTGGCATAATCGCTGGTGAGAATTAACCGCTGGACGCAAGAGTTAGAGGCAATAAATTCTAAAGACTGTAGTGTTTTTATATTCAGTCATAGTTGATTCAATTCAACTTCTCTTGTACAATTCCTATTTTCCCGCGGAATGCAGTGCGAACGTGCAGGAGTTAAGCGTGCGCGAGGCGCTAAACCGCTGTGAACTGTTATCAACCCCCATCTACCTACCGTCTCGTAAAGAACGACACCAACGTCATCCTACGCCCCACAGTGTTCACGGTCATTAGAGCTGTGCTCCTCTCTGCAGAGCCTACTTCGACCCCTTCCCTTACCTCTGCCTCTCATGACTCAGTACATAGCCGCCCCATCATTGACTTTCATCTCCCCTTCCCACCCATCCCCCTGCACATGTCGTCACCGACAGATCTGCACGCATTTATGATTGAGCTCTTGTCACCTTGATCCACCTCACTGGTACCACCTTTCGTCTGCCTTCCTTTCGGTCTTTCTCCTCCCCCCCCCTCCGCCACGACAACTATGTATATTGACATTTTTTACTTAGCATAATGTACCAAAACAACTGTACCTCGTTCTGTTCTCTCTCCACCCTGAATCTGCTTTTTTTGCGTTACAAAATGGGATTATCGAAATACAATTGTGGGTCTCTGTGCTACGTCGGGAGTTATCACCAAGCCTTGTGTCTAATTTACCTATTTCTCTGAATTTGTATCATCACGTCTGCCACTAACTTGTGAGTAATTTGAAGTCGTTCAATAATCTTGTAGAGACTAAGATTTAGCCAACCGTAATGTTTAGACTAACTTTATTTATAAAGTCAAGTGTTCTGCTCATTCAATGTCTTTCAATTTAATGTCCTTAGTTAGAAGTAATTGGTGCTGCGAACGTAACAATTAATGGATTGGAAGTTGGCCTGTTGGAAACATCCACATGATTACATATTCATTCATACCTGAGTGCATAGAACAATTGAATGGTTTTGAGCGAAAGAATCTTAGGGCCTAAGGAACACCAATCTGTCTACCTATCTGTTTGTACTGCACTACAGTACAAGCTACCAAAGCTATCCATTTCTGGATCAAGAAGATTACGTTGAAGACATTTCACATTATTGCGACGAGGAATAGTGGGCGTGAAATTTCATGCTGAATATGGCCTTGCCCCTCCCTTGGAAATGGAGCAGAAGTGGGGCCATATTTGCCGAACCTTACCGGGCTCACTGCAACTAATTTTGGTAATAGGTAGGGAAGAATGGTTTCTTCACTTTCTTGCCTAGGTATTGCCTTGATAGACTGGGATGGTTTCGCTAGGCGCCAAGGTATTGTTCAAGTGTCGTTCTGACCAAATAGCAGTTTTTTTATGCACACGCATCTATGTTCTCTTTGTTAGTCTCCGCATATATGCCCTGTGATGCAAGACCAAAATTGAACTTGAAGATAAGGTATTCGTAGACTAATAAGAAAATTCAGAAAAAGGGATTTGTCATACCGCTTACCGGTAGGTAAGATCAAGCAGATACAAGCAGCAGAGGCGGAAAACGATAGCTTTATTCTTGAGAGAATAGTTGAGCAAGGATCGAAATAGATGTTCACAAGAAAGAAATAGAAAGTTATCACATAAATACTGTGCACTGTGCATTTATGGTAGTTGGAATGCCACTTTACTTGGTGGACTCTTCTTTTCGTCCTTCTTCTTCCTTAGTCCTCGCCTTTTCGTCCTCTTCATAAGGGAATAACAAGAGAGGAAGCATTCCAACCAAGCAACCCACGGTTATGCCAAACATCCGGCCCTCGAAGTAAGCGCAGGCATGTTAGTCTCTCTGTTTCAACAAAGGATCACAAATGCATGGTTCTCAACGCTTGCAGCAGCCTATCCTGTGTGTATTTTGCAAATAACTCACTATTTCCGGTTTCAAGGGCCAATTTTACAAGCATGCCAATTCGCTGATCAAATATCAACAGCGATACATTTGGGAGGATAAATACACAAAGAAGAGCAAGGTTTGTCGAATTTTCAGCACTCCAAGCAGTCTAATAATATGCATTCAACCCATTTCATTGCCTCAATGGGAAGTAGAAAGCTAATCATAATGCTACATTAGCGCAAAATCATCACACAAGCACACAGACCTCCGACCAAGAAAAGAACCTTTCTGTTCGAAAAACAAAGACGGGTAGTGAGCACAAAATTGGTTTTAGAGGTAGCTTAGTTTACCAAATTAGAGCATCGTCGCACGGATTTGGAATTCATTTGAGACTCAGTCAGGGAAGGGGCCTTCACACCAAAAAGCCTTGCGTAACGCTCCACATAGCCCACGAGTCTAAGAGTAGTCATCAAGAAAGTACGATGTCAGCTACACCAAAAAAAAAACAGGTGGAGAAAGTGATATCGTAGGGATTCTCCTCCAGTGTTTTCGATACTTAAGAACGTAGATGTCCATTGATCAACACCATTTCATCTTTATGGAAAAAAAAATACCTGATGCAGACTCAATGTACTTTGTTAAATAACTCACTGGTGAACGGTCAAAATTAGATTCTTCTACAAGACAGTAATTGAGGCCTATCATCTACACACTCATTGCGTATGTGACATGGCATGCAGTGACCGTATTTGTACCAAAAATAGATCTCGTCGAAACTCACCCCAAGCCGCATAGGTCAGATATTAGATTTCCGATACCGGCAGCTAACTAATATATTCCATGCAAGAATTACGATTTACCTGCCATCGTTGAAAAGCCGAAAAGCGTCGCAAGCGTAAGGTCTACGTATTCACCCTATTCCATAACACTTTTGGAGAAATAAACCTACCGCTACTATCATTATAAAATTGTCGAGGAAACCAAATCCAACAAATGGCGTTGCGCTAGCCAAAAAGACTGAAAATAAATAACGATAAATGACGCCAACCCAAGCGAAGTTGATTGTATGAGACGGGAGTCGAGTCTTTAAGTAGATCGTTTGCTTTCGGTAAACTTCCCAAAGCAGCATGCAAATGCTTCCGTTCTGCCTCGGTACAACTATTTACAAGCTCAAAAGCCCAGGAAGCTGAACGCTCCCCGTAAGATGCTTTTGAACTTTGGTATCTTTTCTGCAGAATAAAGTAGAGTGATGGAAACGAATTTAATCCGTGAAAAAAATAACGGTTGTAAGAGGAACGGTAGGCCAAAGGAGCAACCGAACCATACATCTGGGTAACGCAGCATCACTTCCTACTTACCTCCTCCAGACGCTATTAAATTAAACAAAATAATGGAAATATTACAAGTTCTATTTGCTTTGAAATGTCCCACAGTATTGAATATATCTATTTGAACCTGTAAATCGTACAATGGCTTCTCAAAATCCGTATCCAGATATTCTTGCAATAAGTCATTCAAAAGAAAAATACAGGTAGGTATGCTTGAAATTTATCGAAATATATTCAATTTTTAGATGTCATGCCTCAATACCACTAAAAATTTGCATATACTTGACTTTTTGTGAAAAAATGAAGACGATTGACATACGTATATTGGGAGCCTGCACGTGTGGGCCCATAGCCTTTCTAATGTTAAAAATATTAATCCATTTTGTCTCAGTCAATATATACTAGTGTGTATAGCGTCCCGAGACTTTCCATAGGATGATTGAAGGCAGTGAGTGAGGCTGGACACATGTGTTCTGAAGGGAACAGAGAAAATGTACCTGAGCACGGCTTGTCGGCCAGCCAAATCCTCAAATGACCACCAAACGTCGGGTAGTCACATAATCAAAGTATTACAGCATACTTAAATTGTCTTTACAAGGAAGAGGCTACTAAGCAATACGAACACAAATCCAGTACACAAGGAGCGCGAAGAGCCATTCATAGGGTGATGTCGACTTATCGTCTCCTTAGTATCCTCCTTTTCCTTTGCTGTACAAGGTGACAAATGAATCTTCCCTAACCAGCCCTCTTATAAATTCGAAGGTATAGGGAGCTGAGAGGAGTTAGGGAGGCCCTACAATCACGATTTAAAAATTTCTAATCAGTGCTTGATAAACTTAATAGGCCAAGGGATGACACTCTCAGACCCCCATAGAGTCCCGACCACTCTTGTCTACATATTATCAGCTATAACTTGCATTGAGTCTCTTTTATATCAGCGAAAACCCCCTAACATCTTAAGGATTATCCGGGAAGGATCTAGGTGACACGTGGGAGAGAGACAACATCGAGAACCCCAGACACCAAGCGAACATCCTCAAGTTGGTATTGATAACAACGCCACGCATCTCACCCCCCGCCATCAGTCACATACTTCTCCCTGCAGCATTGCATCACTGGTGTCCCAGCAGTGACCAGTAATAAACCCAGTTACTACATAATTGTCTACCTCGACAAAGTACCCAGAAGCCAAGCCTTTCTCACGTTGAGCATAAACTGTTACAGCTTTCTGCAAATGATGCGCACAAGACTGCATAAACAAATCAGGATGAACACGTCCTAAATACAAGGCACAAATGAACACCGTTCTCTATCATGTGGTGTGCACGATTACATCTCCTTTACAAATGCTGCATGGGACGAATTTGCATTGCATTTCAAATGATAAGAATTGCTCTGCACGGCATTGAGAATTGCAGAGTGGGCGCGCTCCCACATCCGACGACACCGTTCTGCAACCTGCAGCTGTATCGTCACGTACAGTCGAATGGTAGTTAGGATTTCATTACTTTGCTGCTTCTCGTAGAAGGCATACTCCGAGGCCAAGGACCTCTCAAAATCTGAGTGTTCTTCCTAAAAGAGCAAACAAAAAAGCATTGGGAGGCTTTAACCTAAGCAAAATATGTATCATTGAGCCTCAAACATGCTCAAACTTTGCAAACCTCCAACTTTGCCAAGCGAGAAGAAGAGTCACCGATTTTGGTTGTAATCTGTTCCATAGCCTTGCCAATCGCTGGGTTGCCTCCTTCGGCCCCTTTGGTTGACGACTCGACACCGAGGAAGAGCGACTTCAGTCCGTTAAGAATGCTGTTGGTAGCACTGGAAATCGGGCCTACTACACTGGGGATAAGCTCTGGTCTCATTCCACTCTTAAATGAATGAAGCATGAATAACGATTGAGTAAAGTGGATTAGAATTTAGGCCTTTACACAAGGGCCTCACTCGTTCCTCTTAGGCTAAAACAGCCAAAAGCAAAATGCATATAAACTAATTAAGTTGACATTACAAAAACACAGCAACAACTGTGAGCTACGAAGTGTTCGTTCCCACAGTCAAAGCCAAAGGAATATGACCACAGAACAAGAACAGAAGCAGGGGAGCGAAAAGCCACACCAAAACACACCAGCCTGTCAGTCAGAGGAGCAGGGTGTCGTCTTCACTCTTTTGGACGACTATCGCTATTTGTTCCCAGGAATGGAGTCGTTCCCCAGCCGCGTTTTAGTATAGCAGTACTCCGAATTTGAATCTGTTCGGTTAACGTTACCGAATCTGCGATCAACTCATGAGACAAGTTAAACTGCCAATTTCATGGTGATTCAGCGGCTGCCGTTTTCTTTTGAATTCACGACGAAGCGCAACCGGATAGAGTAGGCTTAATAGGGTTTCCTTTAAATTATCATAACGTAAAGTAGGTGGGAACTCTTGAGGATGTCTGCATCCCTGATTGAAGCTATTTTGTTTTACATCACCTTACCCACACTGCGTCCAAATTAACTATTTGGTTCTCATTTGTAGGACTGCAACCACTTTTGGGACGTTTAGACCATTTCCTAACGCTTATATAAGAGATCTCTCAATCGATCCCCTCCCCTCTTGTTCTTGAGCTAATTCCACTCCTCCTTCGCTCGCTAACTTTATCAGTTCTTCTTTACTTCCAAGAGAATTCGATAGTTGATTTTGCTTGCGCGCCTCATTCAGAGAGAGTCCCTTGAGGATGCAGAATGCTTTTGATCCCAGTTTTTCAGCATCCTTTGAAACTGCTATTTTGCAGTGCTTTGAAGCAAGACTAAATTATTGTGTGGCACGATATCATTGTAAACTTCTTCAACTGTTTGTCTCTGATGAAGTCCACCATCAGATTCATAGCATTATCCACGTGTTTCAGGGAGTACCTAAGGCGCACGAATCACTCCTTGGTCGATGACTCGCATAAAGCAGATGGTACCGTGGGTCAAAAATGGATCGCCACGCCATTATACGATATGCTTGAGAGGTCCTCCCTCACATACTCCTTGAGCAGAGTATAGGTTTACGAGAGATTTTTTCACTCAAGGCACGAAACACTAATAACATAAGCTATCCAGATCATAGGACTGTTTGTTTAGGCGACAAGTGGGAAAGATATAAGTCAAGTTTGAATTGAGTGATGGCATTCTCCCACAAAATGGTTTTTTGGACCTCAAAATAGAGACTCCGGTCTCTCCTTTCGTCAGTTAAGTCCCTAATAGCAGTTCCTTTTAGAAAAATTAAGCCTTATCTGTACTGAACGATCTGTTCAAGCCTGAATCCCGTCCAGTGAATGAGGGTCCCCGAAAACACTGCGGATTCGACGTCAATAAATAACATCCCTCCTGTCCCTCGTTCAACTGTACATTTTGTAGACTCAAAAGCTTTTCACAACATGATGTTGCCAATTATTCCCAGTGCAAAGCTGGTGCATCCTCTTTGAAAAACTCGTTCTTGAAGTCATTTTGCGTAGTCTCGAATTCGCACTGAGGGCACAAGATTCGTCTTATTAGGGCACAAATCACTTTTAATAGAGGCCTGATATGCTACATGCATGCATTCAGGCGGCTATTGGAGATCGAGTTCACAATCATGACCTCATTATTCCTCGTAGGCGTTACGGTGCTTTCATTCATTCATGACACACCTGCATCCTAGGCCAAAAGCAACTTTGCCAGATTTTATGTGATCCAGCTCTTTTGAGGATGAGTGGGATGAGAACAACATGACTTTTTATGACACTGTTTATCAGTCCTCCTTCATAAACTATGTTGCAACATGCATAAAGTCAGCCTCAGTTTTCGGAAATTCTACAGAATTACAAGCATTGCCAAAGGACTGAGCCAGAGGGGTAAGCGGGACGCTTTGATGTGGATGCATCAAAAAGCCCAAGATTATTCTGCAGCTCAAGACAAAGAGTCGTGCTCGATGGATTACTGCTGTGAGATCAAACAACGTGCAAGTCAATCAACAGTCCTAATTTTGCAGTTAGGCGGATGTGTGTGTTCTCACTTTATAATCACTTGGCTTTTAGCCCGTACACAAATGGATACATTTGAGAAGAAATGGGTTCGCATCATATTAGCATACAGCCATTCACACACATCATGGTTATAATGTGCCCCATATTTATCAACTTTCTACCACAAATATGTTCCTCACGTTTTTCGATTTGACACCTTCCTGTTCAAGCCCAAGTTGAATTAAATAATTGTAAGTTCTTGAAATCGCACGAAGGACAAAGGCACATTCCTCGGGATTATTAATGCAGAGGAAAAACAAGTTGTGCGCCATAAATACCAACTCCAGGCTCCAATGTGTAAATGTTGCCACATTACGTCAACAATAAGCTCCCATCATATTCTCAGTTCAAAGTATGCTAAACTAGAAAGTAGCGAGCTTAGCCTTGCGAGTGACTGTTAAACGGTGACTGTACTAAGAGAATCTCAAAGAGAAACGTGGTCCTATGTAGGTGGATTATGGAAGTTGCAACCGCCATTGAGTACAGTGTTTTCTAATTGGCTGTTCTTCGCACATTGGCACATTATTTTATTCACACTAGCTAGGACAGTGATGCGATGTCACCAACACTTACCTCAAGTAACAGGGCATCGTGCTGCAATTGCTTTTGAATAGCGTTTTCGACGTCAATAGCTTGTCGGATAGAAGCTCCACGGGAGCAGAGCTCGAAGAGGGCGGCAGTATAGCGCATGTGACCCTGCAGCCGGTCGTCGATATCGCTTTCTTCATCCCCTATCAGCGCCAGTAGTTCATAATAACTGTCGAGAATATGAGCCAGGGTCTGCAGCGTCACATGAAAACAATTTATCTTGGAATATACCGGCTAAAGCTTAGCGTTGAATAAGTGACAGTAGTGGATTGAGGAAAAACAACCTACAATTAGAACGCATTAAAAGCCATGTAGCATTAAAAAAATTTTTCAAAATGACGAAATTTAACAGAGCAGATGATAACTCTAATAAGTACAGCCTTTTTGCCACTAAAAGAAGAGACTTAAAGAACCCGAAACACGACAAAGTGCACCTGAGTAGAATCGGATATAGGTAAATCCTGCTCTTCAAAGGGGCACCAACGATGAAGTGCATCAGCTGCCTGCTTGTACAACTGATTAAGTGTACTTCGCCTCCTGCCAATTTGTTTCCTTAAGTCGACAAATCGTTTAACCGAACTTAGAAGATCCTGAGACCTCTGCTGGAGTAGTTCGGGCAGGTTACTAGCTTCACACGCAGGAATCACAGGAGTTGCTACGACCTCATCAGGGCTCTGCACTTTTTCTTCACAGTTTTCATCCACATTCTTCCCGTTCATTAAATCGTTGTCCTAAATTGATGATAGGCACAAGAATAATTGTAACTTCTGAACAAACATTCTGAAAGTAAATTAGTAGCGAGGCTCAACACACGTGGCTTTGTTGATATCCAACCCAATCATCGCAGTCGTGAAGAAATGAATGCAGAAGTGTGGAACGACCTATTCTGGGATGTAATAGGCAACGATTCAAAAAGGCTTCTAGGATCTGCCGACGCGAATCAATCAAATCAGTATCAAAACGCCTTCCAACCAAGGCTCCAGGGATGGTGTCCAGAGAACCGTGACAAACATCTCTGGTCCCAATGATTGACGCGATCTTATACCACCCTTTGTTTGCCCCGTCCTGCCTGCTAGGAAGGGATGGAATCAGACAAGTAGGCAGTCTGCGCTCCAACATGCTTCGTAGACGATAAAACTCCGAGAATCGTCGCGAAACACACCATGACTTAATGCCGCGCGATAGTTTTAACGATTCGTTAGACAAAGCCTATAAGGAAATTACGAAGTCACACCAAGTTTTCACCATGTCAGCGATCTTCCGGGGACGAAGTAGAAGTTAAGAACGTGATGCTTTCACTAACAAAAGTTAAGAACGCAAAAGAAAAAAATGTATTTGCTAGGGTTGACGGCTGGAACATTGGCCGCGCATAAAAGCATAGAAACATACAGAACAAAGCAAACTAACGATCGTGTGGCAAATAAGGATAATCATTAGCTAACGGTACTTACCCTAACTTGGACGAAGTATGTGACATAATCATGATCTCTGATATCATAATCAGGAATGGAAACGAGATAGTGGCGAGAATCGACCATATGACCCAGACAGGACTTCACCAATCCACTGAACAATTCGTCCGCGTCAAGAGAGATGACCTCTAGGACAGGATAAATGAAATATATGAATCAGGAAAAGTAATCGCATTCACAACATTCCAAAGAGCTGACCTTAATTAATTTACTCATTCATATAAAAGTGTATGCGAAGACTAAATAGCATTACTTTTAAAATCATATTTAATGATTCATAAAAACAAGCTGTAAATCTAATAGGATAATAACGTGTGAAGGATTTGTGCATTAACTTGCAAGCGTCTTAATATAGCCATTTTTATCCGCCTTCATATAGAGTAAATATAACTTTCCGATATGAATGTGGCGTTTTACAACTTCTCGCTGAATAATTGAAGACAATAACCCGATGAACACAATGTATTTAGATACAAGAGAAAGAACTGTGATTCTGGGCTATTCCTATAAGTAAGCCACCGGCTCTTCTATCATCAAGCTTCTAAAAATATGGCTTCAAAAGGGAACGGTTTAAAGAGGTTTTATTTGGCGATTGAAGTGAACTGCCTTTCCCCTATAAGGCCAAATTAAACACGCCATTATGTGCACTACAATGTAGTCCCTGTAGCGCCCCGAGGCTTCCAATGGGGTAGTAGAGGGCATAAGTGGGATTGAACACATGTATTCCGAAAGCAATAGGAGAAATGGGACCTGAGCTTGGCCCGAAGGCCAGCCCACG